ATATGAATTGATGAATCTTTACATTGATGAAATAACAGTAATTTGGAAAAAATATATGATTCAGAATATCCAGAGGTCGTTATAATGAAGCTTATCGACTGAGGGTCAACTGTATTTTTATATTTTATTACTCAAATTAATTTCGTCAGGAGTTTCGTCAATCGTCAGTAATTTCGTCAAACGTCTGTAGTTTCGTCACTCGTCAAAGTTTCGTCAGATGAAACCATTGACGAAACCATTTAGTCATGGCCAAAATAGTTTCGTCAGGCATCATTAACCAGCATAGATCATGACACCCTATTGACTTAAGTCACGGAAATCAAAGGTGCATATACAGTACTAATCGTTAACTCTAATTAGAAATTAAGTCTATATTAACTACATGTATTTGCTATCAAAAATAAGTACATTTTAATTAGGGTTCTGCAAACGCCCATGCCATGCACATTAGGCACGATGCCAGGCACTAGTGCTTATGACATGCCTGTACCTATAGTCACAAAAGTGCTGCACTATTATGAACATAGACATTTTTTTGCACACTTTTGCGTTAAGCGCTAGATGACCGTGTCTAAAAAATATTGAGCACTTTTGTGCCAGGAACTTGGTGCCCATACCAAAAAGTGAGGTTTTTTGAATTTTTATAGCTACACCTACTTAAATATTCCGACTTAAGTCACTTACTGGTGGACTGTAAGTCATCTGAGTGGAAATACTGTAAAGATGATGACTCAATAGGCAAAATTTCAGGCATAAAAGTGCTCATGGGTACATAAATGTATGGCAACAAGTGCCTATGGACAAAATAGTGCCAGGTACTTTTAAGGCTAGGCACTAAATATCTATGCCCATCTTTTGTGTCAGCTGCCTAAAATTTTTGCTGGACATGGGCACATGCCGGGCTGCAGAACCCTAATTTTAATAAAAGTACTTGTTGGGTAATTATTATTAGTTTAAAATAATTATCTTTTATTTAAAAATTACATTATAAATCATATAACAAATTATTAAAGGTAAATATTATTCTAACCTAATTCTATTTCTAATTCCGGCCGTATTTGGATTGAGACTTCAAATATTAGCATCAAACATAATAATTCATGCAAAATGATGAATGTTAAAAAAAAACACATATTGGTCGATTACTTACAATAAAGAAATGAATCATTCTTTTTATTAACTATTATGTTAGTTTGAAATTCTTCCATAATTTTAATATTTTAATATTCTGAAATGCAAATTTTATCTTGCCAAGATCAATATCACGCAATTTAACACAAATTATACCATAAAAAATACATGCTAGTTCTATTTCAAAAAAAAAGGGTTTAACTCAAATAATAATAAATTAAAAATATATACAAATTTTAAATCCTAGTAATATTTTGATCAAAGTAACTAACTAGCCTAAGATATTCTTTTATTATTCTCTATCTCGGAAGATTTTCTAAAAAAAATAAATGCTTTATATTCATCTTTTTCAACTCCAATTCCATTAAGGTAGCAATAGGCAAGTTCCTTTATTCCACTAAGATTTCCCGTTTCAGCGGACTTTTTAAAATACATAAATGCCTTATGATTGTCTATTTCGACCCCAATTCCATTTTTATAACAATAGCCAAGATTAAATATACTATTAATATTTCCTAATTCAGCTGATTTTCGATAATAACTAAATGCTTGTTTTGCATTTCTTTCAACACCAATTCCATTTTGATAACAATAACCAACCCAAGACATTCCGTTAGCATCTCCCATCTCCGCAGACATTTGGTAGTGAATGAATGCGTTATTTTCATCCTTTTCAACTCCAATTCCATTTCTATAGCAACAAGCAACTAAAGAAGTTCCTCCAGAATCTCCCATTTCTGAAGATTTCTGATAATAATAGAATGCTTTATGTTCATCCTTTTCCACTCCGATCCCATTTTCATAACAATAGCCAACATTATATATTCCATCAGTGTGTCCAATGTCTGCAGATACTTTATAATGAATAAATGCTTTTTTTCCATCCTTTACAACTCCAATCCCTTTTTCATAACAATAAGCAAGCGAAGTCATTCCGTTAGAATTTCCCATATCTGCGGATTTTTGATAGTATGCAAATGCTTTGCGCTCATCCTTTTCAACATTAATACCTATTTGATAACAATAACCAAGACTATATATTCCAAGAGCATGTCCCATATCCGCTGATCTTTTATAATTAAAATATGCCTTATTTTCATCTTTTTCTATACCCATTCCATATTGATAGCAATCACCAAGTCTATTTATCCCGTAAGAATTTCCCATTTCAGCAGATTTTTGATAATAGATAAATGCTTTTTGTTTATCTATTTCAACTCCAATTCCAACATCATAGCAAGCTCCAACATTACATAATCCAGTTAAGCTTCCCATCTCTGCTGATTTTTGGTAATAACCAAATGCTTTATATTTATCTTTTTTAACCCATCTTCCAAGCTGATAACAATATCCAAGAATATTTTGTATAATATGATTGGTTTTATCATTCAAGCACCAATTAATAATATCTTCTGGTTTAAACTGTTTATTTTCTAAATGCTTTTCTATTTTGTTAAGAATTGTAGTAGCATAATTTCCTTTTTTTTCTTCTTCTTTATGTAAAATACATAATTCTTCAATCGTTTTATTTATTAAAATATCTTGTAGCATGCATAAAAGTACGATATATAGTTATTATTTAGATTATTCTTTAAATCCTGAATAATTTTATATATTAACTTACCATCTTTTGCAGAAACTCCCTCAAATGAATTATTACACATATTTGACATTTTTTTGATGTAAAAAAAAAAAAAAAGTGTGCAAATTTGTGTAAAAAACGATTGTATTTATGATAAAATAATGATAAACTTGTGACATACTAAATAAGTAATGTAATGCAATGAAAAAATGTACAGCATCGGAATTTGCAATATACTTTATATGGTATAAAAAAAAACAATAAATCATTTATTGTAATTTAGCAAGCGATTAGTCAACTTTATTTTACAATCACAATATTTTCGTGATCGTGGTTGGTCAATAAAATTAAAGTATTTCGACATACTGCGCCAAAAAATAGTATTTTTTAAAAATAAATTGTTTTAACTTTGTAGAACTCAGCCCTGTATATAAAGTTATCGTCTGGTTTTTTTAACAACAATTTGTCTGTAAAAAGTTTTAGCATTTTAATAGATACTATATGAGGTTGAGTCAATAGAAATCAAGCAAATTTGTTCTAAGTAAATTTTTTTGAAACTTTAACCAACAATAACTAAATTTGATTTACAATTTGCTTGATTTCTATTAACTCACCCCCATATATTGACGCAGTATGTCGAAATACGTTAAATGTTATTGGCCAACCACGATCACGAGAAAATTGTGTGACTGTCGAGTATAAAGCCATACCTGAAGGAAATGTTATAGGTGAAGCAATAGATACCTTGCATATCTGACTGAATCTTGTTGGTTGTTTATAATATGCAATCATTTAAAACTTTTTTCGTTTTGCAGTTTTTTTTAAATAAATGATAAGTAAAATTAGTGACCAGTTGCAGAATTCACTTTTGGCTTACGATAAACTATTAGCGTTAGCAATTTGTAGTACATTTTAATTAGGGATGTTATTTTGCTTAACTAGTTGGTTTGTGATTTGAAATCCGTTTGAACTCTGTTTACAAGCATGTGAATAAACGGATGCAAATGTACTAATTACTAATAGTCATGCTTAAATAAACATGTTACGTAGTTTAAAAACCTGCTGTCTATATTAATACTATATTTAGTTATTGACATTCCGCACAATTAGTCCTGAATTATTAACAATTAATAATTAATAATTAATTGGTTGAGTTATTAATTAAAAACTGTTTAATAATGCATGGTGCTGTTGGAATGTAAATTGGTGTCCCGGTCCAAGTCACGAGTTTTTATTATTTTTTTATTTTATTTCTTATCATTTATTTATTTATATTATTATAGTTTCTTCATTATTTCAGTATATAGTTATTTATTTGTAATTAGTCCTGCTCATGCCCTTGTTTACGTTTAAGAACCGTAGTAGCTACGCCCAGAGGCAAGAGTAAAACATTAACACGAGCAGTTGAGGCAAGAGTGAAACATTAACATGAGCAGTTGGGGCTATGACGTAAATCGAATAAGCCATAGATTAGTGATAGGTGAGCAGTGTGGCTTCGTGTTACCTTGGGATGGTTTAATCACAGGCGAAGCAACTGCTCATGAAGGAATAAACAACTGCTCATAAAAAACCTGAGCGATAATTATATAGAATTTACCTCGACTATTTTGTTCTTCTTCGAACTTTTTATTCATTTTCTGTTCAAATAGTATAAACAACC